CTGCCCACATTTTCAATATATTCAATATTTAATAAACATATCTTTTTTACAAATATAATTAAATTTTTTTTTACACAAATTTTATTTTTTACATAAACGTGAAATCTATTCCATCGTCGTATTATGTAGGGTACGTTCTGTAAGGCCAAATGATATTTACAAGCGCTATAAGCGCAAAACTTGGAACGCATCTTTAATTATATAATGACATGCACACGCGTATGTGATCACTAAGTCATGATGTCCAGCGGTCCTTGAATGTCCTTGAATCTTGGAATTATACTGGAATTTTATATATTTTGGAAAATTCTTAGAAAACCCCTGAAGTTTCAGAGCTTGCCTGGAATTTATCATTCTTTTATTCTAAAAACAATTAACGTAAAAAAAGAAAAAAATAATAAGAACAAAAGTTGTTTGAGTGTAAGTCCTTTAAAGATGCAATAAATTAATAAATTATAAGATGCAATAGAAAATGAGAAACTTGAATTTAATGTCTAAAATAGAACATAGTAGAAAAATTGTTTGTATTGATGGATGTTCCTTTGATATTATTTAGAAAGCAAGAAATAATATTCCAAATTTGTTAGCGTTTTAATTCATTCCTATAGAATCCTTAAATACAAAGCATATAATGTGCAAATCGACGAAAATTAATCGATGGCATAAATCCTGGAAAAATCAAAATTTTTCCTGGAATATCCTGAAATTATCCTTGAATTGATTAGCCAGATTTTGTTGAACATCATATAATATAAAATAAGATTTTATTGCAAAATATTAGAAAGAAGCGACTGAGCATAAATGAGTAACTAAATTTAATTGTAAATTTCTTTGTAACCCTGAAATGAAACTAATTTTATTTAAAAAATAAAATGGAAGATTATGAAATTATTTTCATAATTTTATTTTTTAAGAAAAGAACCAAATGATGTTTTACGATTCTAACGCAAAAATCTTTTTAAACATTATACGCAAGATATTTTGAAATTCCATATGTACATACTTTAACAATAATACTTTGATAATACAACCAAAGGATGCTGTTTAATTAACCTATTCATAGTTGTATTAAATAACTTATTCATTGTTGTATTTGAAATACAACAATGAATAAGTTCTTACAGTGATAATATATTTTGTAGATGAAAAGAATAGAAAAGCGTTTATATATTTATATGTCAGTGTATATACTCTGAAAAAAAAGTTACGCACAAATCTAGATCATTTTCTTGACATTGGTGATAGATACAGCTTCAACGCGTAGGCTTTCTTCGGAGGCCTTATCGAGAGGAATTGAAATAGTCTTATGACATTTTGCCGTACTCATCGTTGTTTTTGAAATGACTTTTATTCAAATCTGTGCCTGAAAAAAAAAAACTTTTTGTCAAAAAGTGTATATAATATGTACGCGCACATACCTATCCAAAATTTTGTTAGTGTTGTTTTCGCATTAATATAAGATTGAAAGTGCTAAAAGTAATCAGAAGGTACCTTTTATTTCATCATTTATCGACACATATGTCGGTAATAAAATAAATAAATAAAAAAAAAAACTTGAAAGAATGGAAAGAAGTGATTCGCGATTCATGAAATTTGTAAATATAACGTAAGGTTGAATATTATACGTATATCTAAGCGTATGGCTACTATATAAAGCGAATCTTACCGGTGTTTTATTTCAAATTTGTCCGCGCATTGCTCCGATTGGCCGAGGTGAGGGAGTAGTCACCCTTTAGACCGTGCGGTGTAAAATGGTGGTAACGCGCGCTCGCAGCGTCGCACAGCGTCAAGCGTCAACCGTCAACAACGTCAACCGCGTTTAGTGGTTTAGTCGATGCGCGCAGTTTGTACGTGTAACCGGTATCGTATGGTAGTTGGTACGCGGATAGTCGGGGTACATCAGGGGTACACCTGTCTTCGTTCGCTTCTCTCCGCGTAGAACAGCGTAGAACAGCGTAGAAAAGAATCAAGAGCAGAGGAGGAAAGATTGCAAACGCTAAGCTAAGTGGCTCGTGCATCGAAAGACAATCAAAGAGCGAATATATATCTATCTTGAGAAGGTGAGCCCGCGAGATGAGTACTCCGGTGAAGAAGGTACCCATTCATCTGCAGGTGAGTGCGTTTTAGCCAGTTTTAGCACCTGCAATGCAAACTCCCCGCTACGTGACTGTTACTTTTGCGCCGAAGAAAAGGAACATCATTATTTTTATCTACGTGCAATGACGATATGACGAGCGAGTAGCACCGGGTGGCTCGATAAATTGCGATAAATTAGCTCCATTCTAGCGTTTCTTGTATTGTACTTTTTACAGTATCTTCGCCTTCTTTCTCTTCAACGCCTAAACATATATATGTATATTTATCTGATTTTAAGTAGAAAAATGTTGAGATTTCAAGCAACGTGTGCGAGTAAACCTATAACGATCATTACGGGTTCAATTTCTACCCTCTGCGCTCCGAAATCTCGTCGTCGCGCTGCTGGGCGTTAACAAGATTTTCTTCTGTTTCCGCGTATCGAATGAAAAATTGTTGAGCAACATCTACAGTTGATTTTTCAGAAAATATATTCATCTTGATCGAGCGAATCTTTTTCGAATCATCTAAATTAACATGCGTGTCGTGAAAGTCTTCATCATCGAGAGTATCATATATTCTATGGAGAAAGAAATTTTTAAACAAATACTATTTTGGAAAAAAAAAAAAAAAAAAGATTAAATGTTGAGAATTGTATCATTGATTTATCAAAGGGTACGTCCGTCGACGTTAAAAATTAAAATTGAATTAAAACTAACAATCGTTAACTCTAATTCCGTTTCAACTTTTATCTCACTTTCTCAAACGAATTAAAGCCTGCACCTTTCAATTTTACCCACTTTTGTGTTTTAGAAAACGCTTTCTAATCGTACCAATTTTTCTGCTTACACTTAAAAATTCGATTTATTCGAAACAGAGCTTGTGTGTAATAATTAACTCATATTTTTTAGAAATTGTTTGCAACTTGCTTTAAAGTATCACAAAAATCGTTACATTTGTACGTACATACCCAGATAGCCAAGTCTGTAGAAAACAGACTTTTTGAATGTCTGCTACACACTATGCCAACAAAATAAGAACAGAATTAGATGTATATAATACTGTTGACGGACTGCTAGAAAAAAAACGTAACAGAATCTGCAAGCGTCAGATAATGTCGGCAGGATCTGCTCAGTTTCTACCAACAATTTGTCTTCATATTATATCGGCAGGCGATGTTAACAGAACATTAGCCTAATGCGGACGCAGTTGATGGCAGACTGCCGTCATTTTCTGCTCGAACCTGCTGACAGTCTACTAGAAGACTGCAGACATTTTGCTATCTGGGTACGTACTGGAATCTTACTAAAGTATGAAATTTGTGGGAATGAGAAATCTGCATTAATATACCTGCTAATTAATAAACAACAACAAGATATTTGTACTCGGTAGCTCGATAGATTTAAACGGTATCGATATATTTTTTTGTAATTAATATCCGTTAATAGTTGATATAGTAGCTTAGATTTAAAAAATATATGATACGACTTAATCGTGCTCCCGATCGCATGAGAACTCTTAGCGATACCGTTTATCTTATTGAGGTTATCGTTTGCATATGACATAATATGCATTTAATCGGAGTAACACGGCTGCTAGAGATTACTTGGTTCTATTTTTCGAATTTCATATATGTGCATGCGTGTTTATATCTTGTTAGATAAGTGATAAATTGTTGACTTTACTTGGTTGATTACTTGGTATATCGCCATTTATTTTTTACGTGCACCCTATCGGACAATTTTTAATCAATGAAAATGTTTATAACGTTTGACGCAAATACGATACAATTATGGATGATATGCGATTTAAGGTATATCACATTATATGCATAAAAATAAATTGCTATCTTTTTTTAACGAATTCTCTCTGATATAGAGAGATCAAGTTATGTTGTTTTATTTTATACGCGTTGAGATTTATTTTTTAATTGACCAAATTTTATTGTTTTTTTTTTTTTTTTGGATATTTATCAAATTTCTCGAATAAAGATCAATTAATAGTTATATTTGAAAGAAAATGCATCTCGGTGCGCTCTTCTTTTATACTTCAATCGGTATCAATACAAGTATCGCAAATACCTCATATATCTCATTCTATGAGGCGTGAAATTATTCTCTACTAAGACAGCGAAGAAATCTGCAGCTAATTCATACTGTTGGTTTTATGGCGACTCGATGATTTTATTACCTTTTATCATTTATACATACGTATGTATCTATATAAATTGCATGAAGAGTCAGAATTTAAAAATATTCAAAAGTATGTCGTGTATGAAAATTACAAAACTGTAAAAAATAGAAAATCTTGACGTCTAAATTTTACTTCACATTAATGATACATAAATGATACATTGAATTTTTTTAATAGCCTACAGAATTACACAATGTTTTCGAAGGATATATTATATGTATACGAAATAGTCATCATAGTTATAAGAAATGCTCGCTTGACACGAAAGATAAATAAAATTAATTAAATAATGTTTACGCTGCAATTTTGTGTACACATAACCATTGTGAGGCACTAATTTAGAAAATGTAGGGCATCATTTGCGGAAGCTATACCTACACTCTGCACTATACGCGTTTCTATGATGTACCAACGTCAATAGAAATACGATAAAATAGAAAGAAGCGTCGTCATTAAGTAACGCCTATATCGACGGTCTATTGTTAGATTGTAGTCTATAGTTTAAGCTTGAATAGTGTTATTATGTGGCATTTTATATAAATATATAATAAAATGTGACGAATATTCATAAAAAAGAAAGCATGACCATTGTAACATCTCAGCTCCAATATAACAAATGAAAGTAGTGTCGTCCCGTGGCAAAGGTTAGTGTCCTATTGATTCGTAATCCAATTCTTAAATAAAACAAATCTAAATATAAAGTTAAAGATAAAAATTAGAATTAAAAATATAATTTCTAGATCTTTTCGACAACACGCGAATATACCTTATTACACTTGTATTATCGAAAAGATTAACAACATTTTTTTTTATCGATTAATTCTAATTCGGTGAACGCCTAATGAAATTTAAATTCCAATTTTAGCCTCTTGTCTTTAATTAGTACGTACTAGTTACTACCTATTGAAAGTAGAAAGCTCTCTCATCCTCTTTCTCACTGATTCTGCAAACGGAACAATCGTCATACCGTTAGATTCAAGCATGTTATCCCCCAAGCACTAACTGCATTTAATTTAACGTTGTTTATTAGATCAAAAAAATCTGCATTGTCTTATTGGAACTTTAGAATTCTTTCTAATTTCTATGGTAATTACGGAAAACCTCTAACTCATATCTTGATGAAGCAATATCGATTGCTCTTCTTCTTCGTTCGGATCTACAAATAATTACAGATAATGAAGATTTCATTGAAAAAGGATAAAGGACTTGAAAATTGGTATCGAATTTGGATACGTTTCTCAACTCAATCTGTACAGTGTATATAGATTTTGATGGAGAAACTCAAGCCTAGAAATACTTTTAATGTGCTTAGGATTTGTAATGTAGGTAATATAACATAGTAGAACACGCATGATGAAAAATGCACAGGGAAAATCATACGGTACTGAGAGGCGGTGAGCGGTCAGAAGTGACGCAGGGTCGGCGCGGCGCTCTGCGAATCAATAGTTCGTCGACTCGACTCGCCGACCTAATGTCGGGAAAACTCTCTGTTATATGATGTTATATGGTATGCTCTTTAAAATACGTTTTGCGCCATTGACGGTTTTCGAATAAAATCGATAATATATTTGGGCTTCTATTCAATCGTTAATCCGCGAGTTCTTTCGGATTATGACGATTTTCGCGAGAGTAAAAATACTAAACCGGAGACATCTCTGGCGCCCCCCCCCCCCCCCC